CGATAGTTTTTGAACAAGCCAAATTTTTTTTTCAATACGTCAGCCAATTCTCGTTATCAGAAATCATCTTTAGTTCCGGAACGCGTTCCTGTCCAAAAAGGAAGTACCGGAACGACGTTCCGGAGCGTTCCGGCTCGACAACACCACTGAGTATATCTTTGCATATACAGTTTTTCTGAAACTTGTCGTGTGATGACACCTCAGACAAATGAATATTTGTTTCAATTGAAAACCCTATTACATATTCAGAAAACCAGTGTCGTCTTGACCCTAGAGTCTTAGTATACAAATGTGTTATATAATATCTATATGTATAAAGGGGAAATTTTTAAGAGAAATAAAATTCTTCGCAAGAAGGCGATTTAGGAAATTTTAAGGAATACAATACACAACAATTGTTGAATGACTGAAAATTGTCAATAGCAATAATACACGAAAAAATTGTTTGATTTTTATGATCGCAACAGTGAGTCACAATCACAGGAAATAGCACTTAAAATACGAATTAACTTGACAGTGCCATATGTGTAGACAGAATACATTGCATTGTAACCACATTCTTTAGCTTTTTTATTTGAATAATTACTTACTTATATTGAGAGATGTGATTTATTAGAAATACTTGCATTTAAAACGCAAATACAAAATAAAACATACCGATTTTTATCTTGCATTTAGATACTTTTTTTGAGAAAAGCATTTTGTATTTTATTTAAAATACTTTTCCAAACGTATTTTCTATTTGTAAAATACAAAATGCATTGTTGTCGTTAAAAGTTTTGCTAGTATCATCGATTAAACTTATAAAATGATAAATGAAAGTTGTTCACATTGGGCATTGAAAGTATCAGAAGCTTAAAAAGGGGACAGTGAAACATTCCATGAATGTCTTCCATTTATTTACCTGACGACAGCCCAAAAAATTCTAAACTCCTTGGAAAGGGATAATCTAAAATACTGGATAGATATTGTTTTCCGGGTTCAATGTCATGGTCAATGGAATTTTGAAGTTCCAAATTTATATCAGCACCTGTCACATCACTAATCATCGTACCTTACAAAGGAACTACGAAATTCTATGAATTACAACAAAACAGCCCACAAAACAAAATCGAATTGCGCCGGCTGCGTAAAACTGAAAACTACAAGATATTGTGGTATGCTAATAAAGCGTATAATATAAAAAAATTCTTAGAAAACGATTTGAAAAACTTCACTTATTAGATGAACCTAAAGATAAAGAAACTAAAGTGTAAAAGATCGGAAACAAAATGGGGTTGTAAGTATTTTGATATAAAATTATTTATGTTGATTTTACATCAATAAAATTATTTGCAACCGTATTTTGGCTCTGATCTTTCATGCTAAAGAAACTATCTATTTTCGCATCTGTGTCTTTTTTCCAATTAAAACAGGTGACAAAGGCAAATAAGGAAGCATATAGAAGAATAATTTGTTGCTGAACTGAATAAACTATAATATAAAGATAGAAAAACTATATATCAATCACTTCAAACAGAAAAATATGAGCATTTAAAATACAAAAGGGAAGTCGGTTTTGTATTTTACATTTGAAATAACAAATCAAAAACTTATTTGCATTTTGTTTTTAAATATTTTTAAAAAACCATTTTGCACATCACTACTTATTAGATCATGCGAGCTTACCTATGTCGTTTACTAGTACCTACTTTATTGCAGTTTTGTCTCATTTTCTTTCTTGATTATCTTGAATTGCTCCTTGTCCTTGTGTATTATTGATTTTGATACTTCTTGATGGTACCAATGCATTGCTTCTGTTCTGATTGTCGCTGTTAGGCTTTCTATATATATTTTTTTTTTCGAAATTGTTTTGCTATTCTACGTACAAGCAGATATATAATACATTATTAAATTGACCAAAGCTTCAAATGCGAATTATAAAATTATTATGTGACTTCTACAATGATTACATCTGTACTTCGTTTAACGGCTGCGTCAAACAATTACCTATTCTTGCAAATTTTACACCCCTTCTAAAATTTTGTCCTTCAAAATGTTCAATATCTTCTAAATGATACACCCAGAACTTCACACTTCCTAAATTTCACCGCATTAAAATTTTGCAATTCCAAAAAATTTCGCATCAACATCTCATAAATTCACGATATTGGTAGAAAGTAGGTAAATAGATTCCGTCCTAAAAGATAGGATCATCTACCGAATATCGAAAAGCAATTTGATTAGTTCAGTTATTTCTGAGATTACCTCTCTCAACTAACTCATAAACGCTTTCTCGAGACCCTACAGAGAAAAGATCTGCCCGAAGTAAAGCTTGATTGTGGCGCCTCACGTTGCTTTCCACAGGAACCAATATGTGTTGACTCTCCTTTATCTGCTTTATCTATAAATATGAATAAGATGGGCTGTTAGTCTGGATCTTTTTAATTTGAATAATTTTATTACAAATTATAAAGAATCGGGCTCTGAGTGTATGCCAATGAAGGGTATCTAAATTATTAATCTTTTGGAGAAGTCGGTTTCAAAACCTCTTCTCCCTTACTTCTAAGCAAGACCCTGTTGTTCATAGTAATAACACTCAGTGATACAAGAAAAGGAATAACTTTATAAATTTTGCTGATAAATTGGTAGTAAAATTATAATATTTGTTGTGTACGAGGTATGTTCAAAAAGTATCGTTTATTTTGTGTTTTCTCAAAAATTATTTATTTATTCATGAATTTCTATTTTGTCCCCTTCAAAGTAATCCCCACCACACATTATACACTTGCGCCAACGTTTTTTTCAATTCTTGAAACATTTTAAAAAATCATCTTCGTGATCTTGTTCATCTCCTCCTTCAGTACCGTCTTTATCTCCTCAATCGTAGCNAAGTAATCCCCACTAGATATTATACACTTGTGCGAACGTTTTTTCTAATCCTTGAAGCACTTCAAAAAATCATTTTTTGTGATCAAGCAAGCAGAGTAGCTGTCAAAAATTAACTGAACATTCAACATGGCCGAACTTGTCGGTATAAGTGAATGACATCAGTACCAACATAACGCCACAAAAAAATCGAAAATCAAATATATATACGTAACCCGCGCATATTCAAAATTCGCGATAGTTTTTGAACAAGCCTCGTATACCTGCTCCCTACAATTATTTTTTGTTTACTAAGAATACCACAACAATGTTTAACAGTGTATAATTGTAAGCCTATCTAATACTTATTGCTAGTTTAGAGCCATAAAAAAGTTAATTACCTATATTTTCTTTGTAGGTCAAAAATGGACGCAAGAGTTCACCTTTCGGTAATGAAAGGTCCAACACGGATACTGAAACCAAACAGTTTGCACAAGATGTTCGAGGTTGTCGCGAAAGGCCCTGCAGCAAATAATACAGCTTTGATATACGAAGGTAGTCATATAGTTTACTTTTCATAAATACCTATGTTATTGTAGGAAGCACATAATAAATATATTATGCTGACCTACCAATGTCAGTAATAAATTTTTATCACAGAACATAAATGTAACTCTGTCCTTTTGCTCTGCTTTGTCTCATACTGAGAATAATCAAACTGATAAATCATACATATCTCCTACTACTTCCATCCTATTAGAAAATGTTGCGCCGATTTTACGTGTAATTGCTCATTGCATGAAATCTACAAATCGTGTCTTAATAAAGTACTACAGGCAGTACTTTTGCCAAATACTTGAAATGTAGCTTCACATTTCTCCAAACAAAAGAAAGAGCACGATCACGGCAATACTCAATTCATGAGTGCATGAGTGTCTTTTCCTACAGTAACTTTTCTAGCCCAGACTAAACCTAACCGAACTTTAACCGAAAATTAGATCTTAGGATCATAACGTTTGGATAGAAAAGGACAACATTCTCGAATGTAATATAACTGCACTTATTCGCATTTCCAAACCATTTTCATTCCGCCATTGAACTGTGACTTCCAGGGCCTTCTGTAGACCTTATTTGTCTTTGACTGTATCAGTTAATTAACAGAACAAAAGTTACTTCATAAATCATAATAGTAAACACCTATACGTAACTAATAAATTCAATGTCTTGATAACTGTTTGTAGTTGTGACAAAAAACGTCTAACGCAATTCTTTTTGTTTTTCCATGAGGTAGAGGCTCCTACATCATCAGTTAAGGATGTTTGGGAGGTATGTCAAAATGCTACGAGACAAATAAAAATTTGGAAGAACGTTCCTCATTCAATTCTGAAACTCCTGTAAAAATTACAAATCGATTCACTAAACCGTTAAAAAGTTATTGAAATTTTAAAAAATTGTAATTTTACACGTCATTTTATGGAGATTC